TCTCCACTGTACATACACCCCAAACCCTAAACCCTAAACCCTAAACCCTAAACCCTAATTTGTAGATCTATTGTTTTATATAGAAGATCTAATTATTTAAAGGTAAAATAAGCCATGTCTAATGGTCTGCTGCTGCTGCTGTTGCTGCTGCCCTTGCTGCACGCCTCCCACAGCTCGCTGCCGCCGCAGCAACAACAGCAGCAACAACAGTAACAACAACAGCAATATCTTACCCGTAGAATCTGTTGGATTGCTGCTGGTTCTAATGGCAATGACCGAAGAAGGAGAGAAGAAAAGAAGAAAAGAAGAAAAAGAGAAGAAAGAGAAGAGAATAAATAAAAAGAGGTAAGATGATGATACACCTCGATACGTAAAAGAGGAAGAATTCTTCATTTTTATTCCTTAATTCATTGATTTTTATATAATTTACTAAACAAATATACAAATATAAATATTATTTACAAATATTTTACATAAATAATAAATATATACCCATAAATAGCTGCAGCAACATCAGCAGCAGCAGCAGCAGAATACCTGCAGCCGCCGTCGGCAGTGCTCAGCTGTCTGTACACCTAAAATTCTTCTTCTCCTCCTTTCTTTATCTTTTTATATTGTATGTTTATTTAATTCCTTTTATATTTATAAAAGTAATTATAATTCTTTTTTATATTTTATTTACTATATAAAGGAAAGAATCCTTAAGAAGGCGCCGTCAGCAGCACGAGGCTCACGGGGTGTATGTACAGCTCGGCCTCATCGTCGTCACACAGCAGCAGCAGCAGTAGGGAGGACAAGGAGCTTGTAGTTCTTGTATTTTATTACAAAATACATTAAATTAAAGGAAATTAATTAAATTAAATTATATTATATTAATTAAATTAATTTATATATGATATAAATCATAAATTTATTCATATTATACAAATAAAACTGCTGCTCGCTCTGTCCGTACACCGCAATGCGTGTGCACTGCTGCTCCCTCCTCTTACAGGATCTTCTTGTCATTAAATCTTTAAAATATTCTTTCTTTATGTCTCTATTTAATTATAATAAATTAAATACTTTTATTTTGTTGAATTTACCAAACTTGTTGCATAATCTTTGCACGCATTGAGGTGTATCGGCAGGTGACGACCATACACACACTGCCTATACACCTGAACGTGCTCCCTCCTTCCTTCCTTCTTGCTGCTGTCTCATTCTTTTTTTATTTGAATATCCATAAGACAAAAAGAATAAATAGATTAATGCCTGCATAAAACTAGATCCCTTGCCTCTAAACCCTAAACCCTAAACCCTCCGCCTGTAAGGAGAGAGATGCAGAGAGGACAGAGGCATCTTTGCATGCATGCATGCACAAGTATTTGTTGTGTATATAGGTTAGGGGACAGCAGAAATAAAGGGACGTGTCTTCTTTATTTATATTTATTATTTATTTGTCTTTATATTATTCGTGCATGCATTGTTGCATGCAAGGAAAGCCCCAAAAAAAGGCTGCATGCATGCATTAATATTTTTCTCTATTTGTATAAACCTACATCTTTTATTGTATTTGTTTGTTCGTTTATAAATAGGTACTAATATAACTAATTAACTAACTAACTAGATAAATAAATTAACAAAAAAAAAAATGAATAAAAATAAATAACTAGACAACTAATATTAACTAAAAATAAAATAAATAAAAATAAATAAATAAAATAAATAAATAAATAAATAAATAAATAGTTAAAAATAAGAATAAATAATAATAATTAAATAATTAAATGAATAAATAAATTAAATAATAAGTAAATAAATAAATAAATAAATAAATAAATAAATAGTTAATAAGCAAACGTATATAAAGAAAGAAAAGAAAAAGAAAGAAGATGCGCCTCTCTGTTCTCTTAGGGCCAGGTATAGCGTCTCCTTCTTTTCTTTTTATTTATTTAATTATATTAATTAATTATTTTTTTTTCTTTTTTTATTTATTTATATTATTATTTAATTAATAATTAATAATTTATTTTTTTATTTTTTTTTATTTAATTATCTTATTTAATGGTGTAAGGAAAGTGTTCAGTATACACCCCAAGGTGTATAAATGCATGCATGCATAAATAATTTATATTTTTTTATTTATTTAATTAATTATACCTATATATATAATTTATATTTATATTTATATTTATTTATATTTATTTATATCTATATAATTAAAACATTAACACAACAAAGCATAATAACATGATGAATACATGCAGCAGCAACAGCAGCATCTGCTGCTGCTGCTGCTGCTGTTGCACTTGCTGCAGCAAACATAATATATAATTAAATACACATTTATACCCTATATATATATATTTATATATATTTATTTATTTATTTATTAATAAGGAATACTATCCCTTATATTTTTTTTTTCTTTTCCCCTCCCCTGTAACCAATGCATAATAAGCAGCAACATAACTTGCTGCTGCTGCTGCTGCTGCTGCATCTGCAGCAGCCCCAGCAGCAAAAAAGCCTCTGCATGCATAGCCTGTGTATATATAAATCTATATATATAGGGTAATGAATAGTATATATAAATAAAAATATAAATAATATATACATATTTTTCTGTATTTTCTTCCCCTTGCTCCCGTACTACGATCCCTATAACCCGTATAAACACAGCAACAACCCCACCACCACCACCACCACAACCACCACCGCAGCAGCAGCAGCAGGAGGAGGAGCAGGAGGAGTAATAGGATTAATTAGAACTCTGCATGCCCTGGATATCTAGGATAAGGAATAGTATCCCTAATATTATCTATACCTGTACATAACATGATTAATCTCTCGAAGCCTAGACCGAATCCTGCATGCGGTACAGCCCCAAACATTCTTAGATGTCTATACCACCAATAATTATGTATATTTAATTGTTTATAATTAATCATTAGATTTAATTTATTTATATCCTCCTCCCTTTGGCTACCACCTATTAATTCACCTATCTTAGGTACTAATATATCCATTGCCCTTACTGTCTTATTATCCTTATTTACCTTCATATAAAATGCCTTTATTTCCTTAGGATAATTATATACTATGCATGCTTTTTTTTTGTATAGTTTTTCTGTTATATACCTCTCGTGCTCACTAGATAGATCTATACCCCAATATACTTTTTCCTTAAATAATTTCTTATTATTTATTCTCTTCTCCTTCTCCTCCTCCTCTATTAATCTATTTATTACCTCTGTATATGTTATACGTATAAAGGGATTATTTATTATATCTAATAAACGTTTACGTAGTCCTTCTTCTTGATTCTTCTCAAACCAGTCTATCTCTGTATATACATACACATATACATATTTATTTATTTATTTTATTTATTTTATTTATTTTATTTATTTTATTTATTTATTTACTTATTTTATTCTTCTTATCTACTCTATTACCATTATAATTATGGGTCTATAAGCTATATATGTATATATTCATACATATACATATACATATACATATACATATACATATACATATACATATACATATACATATACGTATATATACGTAAATATATAAAAGAAAATAAAAACATGAATATAGCGAATAAATAAGATAAATAAAGAGATAAATAAATACATATACATATGTATATAAATATATTTATATATACATATATAGATGAATAAACAACCGTAATAAAGAGAAGAAAATATATAATAAAAAGAAGAATAAGAATAAGGAATAAAAAGAATATACGTACCTGCACTACAATTAACAAGACAAGAATGTACACAATATTTAACATAAGCCTCTGCAAGATTCATATTATCATTAAGATCTGCGAATGCAATCTCTGGCTCAACCATCCAGAACTCAGCTAGATGTCTAGATGTATGACTCTTTTCTGCCCTAAATGTAGGACCAAATGTATATACATCCCCTAATGAGCAGCAATAAGGTTCAACAGCTAATTGTCCGGATACAGTAAGATATGCATGTCGTGAAAAAAAATCCTTAGAATAATCTATCTCTATACTTTTTTTTTTTATATTCTTTTTTTCTCTATTTTCTTTAGATAATTTATTATCTTTTTTTTTATTATCTTGTAGAGGAGAATCTCCTCTATCTTTTGTATTATCTATATTATAATTATTATTACTAATTTCTTGTCTTTTTTCTTCTTTTTCCTCTTTTTCTTCTTCCTCTTCCTTATCATCCTCTAACAATGTAGTTACAGAAAACATTTCTCCTGCACCCTCACAGTCTGCTGCTGTTATTATAGGGGTATGTATATATAAAAATCCTCTGTCTTGGAAGAATTTATGTGTAGATGCAGCAAGTATATTCCTTATACGCATAACTGCACCTATTAATGTTGTACGTGGACGTAGATGAGCTATTTCTCGTAAATATTCACGTGAATGTTCTTTCTTTGCTAATGGATATATTGATGCATCTGCTGTACCTAATATCTTCACATAATGTCCTGTAAGCAGCAGCAGCAGCAGCAGCAGCAGCAGCAGCAGGTGTTGTTGCTGTTGTTGTTGCTGTTGTTATAGAGGAAAAGAAGGAGAGAAAGAAGATGTATTATATGTGCAAATAAAAACAACAATACAACAAAAACAGCAACAAAAACAGCAACCAGCAGCAGCAGCAACAGCAGCAGCAGCAGCAGCAGCAGCAGCAAAAAATATTTACCTTTATTCTCATCATCAACAAGTACCTCAATTAATTGTCCTTTTCCTGGACTTTTAACAAGTGTACCTTGTATAAGAAAAGAAGAACCAGTATTACATTTATTAATAAAAAAAAAATTATTTATATTATTATTTATTATTATTTGTATATTATGTATACAAGAACCATCATTTATTATTAAGAAAATAAAATTATTATTTCTTCCTCCTCCTCTTCTTATACTACGGCACCATCCTCCTATTAATACTAATTTATCTAATAAGGATATACATAATGGGGATAAACAAGGAGGAGAGGAGGGGGAGGGAGGGAGC